GACGTAAAAACCCAAGGGCAGTGTACAGAATATTTGATAGAGTCCTAGCCTTAACATCTAAGGAAAGTGATTTAGGGGTGATTATTTCTGATGACTTAAAGGTTGGCAGACAATGCAATAGAGCAGCAGGAAATGCTAGCAGAATGCTTGGTTGTATAGGGAGAGGTATTAGCAGTAGAAAGAGGGAAGTGCTCATGCCATTGTACAGAACACTGGTGAGACCTCACTTGGAGTATTGTACGCAGTACTGGAGACCGTATCTCCAGAAGGATATTGATACTTTAGAGTGAGTTCAGAGAAGGGCTACTAAACTGGTTCATGAATTGCAGAATAAAACTTAACAGGAAAGGTTAAAGGATCTTAACATGTATAGCTTGGAGGAAAGACGAGACAGGGGGGATATGATATAAACATTTAAATACATAAAGGGAATCAACACAGTAAAGGAGGAGACCATATTTAAAAGAAGAAAAACTACCACAACAAGAGGATATAGTCTTAAATTAGAGGGGCAAAGGTTTAAAAATAATATCAGGAAGTATTACTTTACTGAGAGGGTAGAAGATACATGGAATAGTGTGGCAAACCTAGCCACTTAAGACTGTATTTCCCACTTAAGACTGTATTTACATTTAAGTGATATTGTGGCTTTAAGACTACCTGAACTGTCCATGTTCCCAATTCTGTATTTTATGTGAACGAGAGCATTCGTATGCTGGCAGCACAAAAGCCACCAGCATTCATACAGTAGTTTCACAAACAGTGAATTTCAACACTGTTCATGAAACAAACAAACTTCCGAATGGGAGACCACACACAGGAGGTCGTGTGGCTCCCATTACAGATCGCAACAAAGTATCTGTCGGCAGTTAATAGATGTTCAGGGTGACCACCATTCGGATACCAACCACGCAGTGGCGGCCATCTTGAATCCTTTGTTAACTCAGCGGTGTTTGGTCGTCGAGTGCCTGGAACTAAAATCGTCTATTCTACAGCACAAATACCGCTGGACTTCCAGGCCATTCGGGAGCACCGGTCTTTTGGTATTTTATCTCTGCATGAGTATTCGGGACGTTTGTGAAGAATTTGTGTTGAAGTGTATTTCGTGCGGCGTTCAGCTAATTGTGCTGGGCTCAGACCCCAGCTATCTGCCGTTCATTCGGTACAATAGCACAAATAATATTTTATGTAAA